ACGCTCTGTACGATTTTTAACGTTAGCTATTCTTAACGCTTGATTACGCGTCGATTTGTTACACCAGTTAGTTGCAAGTACTGAATAGTTTTTCTGTTCTTGCGATCAGAAAATATTTTCAAAAGTTTGTTGTACCTGACGGTGATTTCATGTGAATCTCAAAGATATGAAATGTTAAACTTTCATCCTTCTCATTGTGTAATGATGTTGCTGAACCTGGCTTATTTTAGACACCACTGGTTGTACAACGCTACCAGTTACAACATGATATACTCCGATTCTGGCCTCTTTTACATCTACACAAGTGCCGAACCGAGTAAAGTGAGTACCGACGCGAACATTGGTCAGCCATTAATTGCGATTCGCGATTATAGCTGGACGACGCAGTTTCGGTAGTGCTCAGCGAATACTTCCGAATGGAAAGCGAGATTGGTAAAGTATGTTCGCTGGCTTGCTACATATATTTTTAAACATGCAGGTGAATTGTTTTATGCGGGAGTTTAGTTCAAAACTCGTCCTTTACGGGATTACACCGCTGATAAAATTTATGTACAAGTTCTCAAATGTTTCGTGTCATGCTCCATCCGTCTTCAGGGAGCGACATTACAGATTCAATGTATTTGTTTCTGTATTTAGGTACAAACTTCACTATGGAGGTTTCAGACATGATAGTGGAAGTTGTTTGATGACTTCGTTCCAGTACAAACTTAGTTCCGTACCGACGTCTTTCATAATGCATTGGTTTTTTAACTGTATTACTAATGTTTCTTTTATTTTCCGGTTTAGAAAGTTTCGCTCTCGATGTATTCCTCTTATGTGGTCCTATAATATACGGCGTTCTCTGTTGCACAACCACCGAGTTCTGTTCGCATTGATGCTTCGATATCGGTGCACGTTTCGTTTGTCTTCATCCTTACCTTTCTGTGCTTGTCCATTCTGACGTAGATCAGCGTTGCGCCATCTAGTCATATTACTGATGTGTTCTTTCTTCTGTTGTGTTG